ATAGTCTTCCATAAAGATGTTGGTCCTGGAATTTGCAGTTTGGATTTGTTCAATTGAAGCAGATATGAGTTGTCAATACTTGTGGCTTGCACATTTAGTACTGCGCAATGTGTAATTATAGTAATTCTGCCAGCTAAAAGTTCACAATGTGTAGATTGAAATTGTCGAATCAATGATTTACCAGATGTTTGTAAATTTTCTATTAATGTTAAATTGTCGGAATTTATTTATTTTTTAAGCAGTTGCTCGACCTAAAACTTGGTACGTGTTTAACAGATGTTTTATTTATTAATGTTAAACGGATGTTTGTAAAGCTTGTTTTGCTTTAAAATGTTCTGAGATTTTGTGTGGATTAAGAAGCACAAATTTGGCTGGCTTTCTTCCTTACCTGATTGTGATGTTAACTCTTTTAAAAAGATGTGAGCATGCTGTCATAATCTACAATTGTTTAAGGACCAAAGGCTTGTAAGTAAATTTGCAGCGCGAACGTGTAGTAGGAGTGATTATATAATACTATGGTAGTACAGTCACGTGGTACATGTTGTACAAGTGTTATAATATAAGTGGATATTTATTGATATTATTCCCTAAAAGAGGGAAAATAAACCTTGTCGTCCACCCATATTATAACATGTGTACAAGATGTACCACGTGACCATACCATATATTGTAATCGTCTATAATTTCTCGTGTAGTAGTGCTCTATTCATTCATACACAATGGTCAACTAACAATCTAATGATTTTTTGAACAAGTATTAATAGCTCCATTCCTTTATATGTAGAAGTTTGATTCTGTATATAAAGAACATATGTAAACCCTATACCGTAATACATAAACCCTAAACCCTATATATATAACATACATGTACGTGATGCCTATATATCAGTACATTTTATTATGCAAAGATGTTATAACGACGGATTGTGAGCCTAAGCAGTGCTGCAGGTACATTTGAAGAAATCTTGTATACACAATCCATCCAAGGGTCTTCACTTGTCCGCGACACTGAAAGAGTCTTACATTTTTGTGTTAAATCACCAATTCGATGTAATTAAATTAGTATGATTCATGATCTGAAAGAAAGACTACTGGTCTTTGTATTTGACTATCTTTTCATTTAGGAAAAGAAGTATACTTTGTATATATCTTTTCATTTAGGAAAAGAAGTATACTTGAATTTTCACCATTTTATTCTCAAGAACAAGATCAAACAAAGAAGCCCCAACTAGCTTTGAAGAACGTCCATACTTCTCTACGAGGAGAGTAGAGCCTGCATTGATTCGACACCCCAGGCCCCCTTAAACTGGGGGTATAGGTCAGACCAATTACGTCCATAATTCTCTACCAGCTAATTTACACGGGGGAGGTGAGACAAATTACACCATATGATGTATAACAGATGGCAGATCGAAGAACAGTTTGACAGGCGCGTAATCCCAGAAACAACATAATCCAGTCTATGCCATATTAAGCATTTGACGATCTCTGATGCCACATTAAGCATTTGGCCTCTGATGCCACCTTCCAAGGTTGCCAATTATGTACTGGGAAGGGAAATGAACCGACCATCGCAGAGCCAAGTCCTACCTATCGCTGCCTATGTGGAAAAACAACAGGTTAAGCTGGACGCCAAATGCTGGATGCCAGAGCTCCACACAAAGTTTGTGGAGGCCTTGAGTCTGCTTGGAGGTCCTAAAATACACACAATTCAATTTAGATTATTAGAACCACAATTTTTAGTCGTCATATTAACATAATAGTCTCCTCAAATTAAATACAAAAACGGCATCTGAATTTGATTATGGATGTGCAGAGATCAGTGAAATAAATTGATATAACATATTCTTATAATTCCGAATAAATTAAGCAAATAATTAAGATCAGGAATACCATTAATTTGAGGCTTCTTGCTAGAGTAGCACTCATCAGTCTGTTGCAAACTGCCTCTCCTTCTGCACAAAAAAGAATCCACACAATCAAGCTGTTAGTATCAAGAGAGGTAGAGCGAGAGAGAGAAGTAGAGTGAGAGTTTCGAGATTGTGAGACAGAGATAGAGACCTACATTTTCTGGTAAATCACCGATCCGATGTAAATTTGCACGACTCATGACCTGAACGGAAAAGTGGTGTTTATATTTGACTCTCTTCTTCTGATTTATTAAGTGAAGGATGGCTTGGTTCTCCACCATTTTTCTCAAGAACAAAGCAAAACAAAAGAAAACCCTAACTACGAGCTACTGCTGCTTGACGGCCCCTGTACATGATAAGAAATATATAGTGGCTGCGTGCGTGGTGGGTAGGTAGGGCAGACAAATTGGTCACCTAAAATATGCCAACAAATGTATTACACTTGGTAGGCTCTGATTGTCAGTCCACATACCTCAGGCACAATATGGCCACAGGGGGCCCATGAAACTGTCATCCTAGCTGACTAGGAAACGGATAGAGCCAGAACTATACCTGCATGTATTTTTGGATATAGGACAACATTGCACATGAAGTCACCCCAATTAGCAACCTCAATTCATATGGTCTAATTGTTTTGTAAGTTGTAAATAATAATAGATAAGTGAGTTTTATTTTTGGTGTCCAGAGACTAGTTCCTCATAAAATATGTACATATTGAACATTGCTACCTTTTCTGGTAACTTCATTTCACGCTTCGAATACATAATAAATAACTTTAGAATTATTTCGAATTTAAGGTGTGATTTAAAAAGAAATGAAGTCTACTTAATACCTACCGGAAAGGGTAATTCAATTGGAGATTGAAATACACATAATTCATATTTTTTTTAAAAGTTAAACATTGTTAATGGGGTCTAGCCGAGTGGGAAAGGGTCTTGATTTGTAGGCCAGTAATCTCAGGTTCGAACTCCCATGACACTGATCGGTTCATAATTGTATATCATTTTGTACCCTTCTAGTTTATGATTTGGTTATGTTTTTGAGTTAAACTTGTGCTTTTAATCTTTTTTGTGTTTATCTTTCAGTTCATTGAGCTTTAGGTAATAATGATGGCTTTAGAGAGCATAATTCATGCAATTCAAGCATGTTAAGGCCTAATTTGGATGAATGGATGAAGAGCTTAAAGACAAACTCATTTTGGCTACAGCCCCCTGCCAGTCCAGTTCC